GACCATGTTATTATTAGTACTGTATGACAGCACGATGGGAATATGCTTTTCTCAAATGGAACGATTACTACACTTCTGACATCAGAAATATAGTCAAGACCATTTTCAGATTGTAAATACGTTTCCAATAGTGAAGCAATTAAGTTGATTCGCACTGTTTGCACAAAACAGTTTTTCTTTGAAATTTAGCATGTAATATGAAAATATCATGGTCTATACATATGACCAATTAATAATTCTCTAGTATTCCTCATGTGACGTCATCTTGGATGAATATGGATGCTAGACTGAGAGACTCATTTGTAATGATCTCATGCTTGTTTAGAATACCAGGGGATTACCGAGGTATATACAAAGATTGTATTCATTGGATTGACGGGAAAAATTATGGTGTTCAATGGTTCAAACAGCAGGTTACTAACCTTTCTTGGTGTGTTTATCCAGGCAAGATGTGAGAAGTGTGAATCAACACTGACACCAACAACTTCAGTGTTTATATCTTTAAATTCTGCGGCTCGATCACTGAATGCAATAATTTCTGTTGGACACACGAACGTACTAGAAACAGATAAAAACATAGAAGCCATGTTACAGTAATAAATTCACTTCTCCATTTTTGAAATGCACTCATCTTGCTTTAATAACACAAGTTCCCTTCATGTTTCACATGTACGCCCTTCTGATAACTTTGTTTCGTTTTTATTTTAAAATTATTATGATAATTTTAAAAATAAATGTTTGTCTGGGTCTTTTGCAACTACAAGAAAGGTACCGGTATTTGAAGAAAAAGTAAACTTACAAATCCAGGGGATAGAAAAACAACACAAGGTATTTCCCTTTGTAATCTGATAGTTTGATGTCTTTGAATGCACCATCTACCACTGCTGTACCAGAAAAATCAGGCGCTGGCTTCTGTATCTCAACAGCAAGAGCTCTGGATCCTGCACATAAAAAAAATAATCGAGTTGGAAAGGTAGTCAAAAACATGTACATCATTGAAAACACCTCTGTAAACTGAACACCTCTGTAAACTGAACACCTCTATAAACTGAAAAAATTTCCATGTCCACCTTCGATGTTCAGTCTAGACAGGTTTGACTACATATGAATATGAGATTACAAGGATACCGAAAAAGATGCACAAAGACAGTACAGCAAGAGTATTGACCGAGAGGTCGATGCGACGGCGTACTGTCTGAGTGCATACTTTGCAGTATCCTCGTAACAACCTTATTATACAACTTTTCCTCCCAATGATACATCATGGGAATGCCGAAATTACGGCGCTACGTTGACAGATGTATAATAATAACATTTATTTCCACACAGATTATATTTTCACCATTTACTTTTTGCGCAAAACTGAATTCCATGACACTCGTGATGCTTGCCATTTATAAATAATAACATTGATTCAACAGTAAAAAAGTATTTCAGGAGTGCAGCATCTCTAAATCAAAGTCATGATTTGCCTATAAGCAACAAAAATGTGAAAAAAGTGGCAAGAGTTTTTTTTTGCACCTCCACCCCCTAAACCACAACTCTAATTGTCACCCCTAAATCAAATGTACATGTTGTAGGTATCCTTAGAAGGGGCATATACAAATTGAATCTCGACCCCTGGGCTTCTCGCCCCACCGCATTGGCAATGCGAACCTCTATCTAGTTCAATTTTGCCCTTGATAACCTAAAATTCTCGCGATCTTGTGTATCGTGCTGTATTTGAATGGTCAACATCTATCGATTCGAAACATTGAACACAGAGAACATGATTGAACCGTTCCTTAAACGCAAATCTACCGCAATCTTGGGCTCTACCATTTAACGTGGTGGGTAGGTGTATATAATAATTCAGCAATGTGGCACACATCGCAAGTGTAATTCCGGTATTTCGAGAGATGTTTATCGTCAAATTATTCGTGGCGACATAGAATCTACATTGTATTACATGGCAGTGTAGTGATTGTACATCGACTAGCGTTGAATTGTCGAAGACTAATGCAGCCGCTGTAAATGAGCAATCGATTGAAGCTGATATGGATGACATGTCCAGCCAATGCCATTTTTATCGGACTCTGACGACTCTATTACGGCACTTTCGGATGAAGATCTGCCAAAACCCATTCCTCATTTTGGAGAAGAAAATGTCTTTATATACGAGATTATTGAAGGAGCGTCCATCCGAGGTAACCCCATGTTAGTGGATAACCAAGGTTATTCCTATCAAGCAAAAACTGTCAAAAACTCAAGGAAGACAATGTGGCGTTGGAGTGCTAGGACAGAGTTTTAAAGTGTCTTGCATCCGTTGTGCAGACTGAAACCAGTTTTGACCTTGGGGTGCACAACTACAATCACCCAGGCCAACCGGGTATTTCGACAAAATTAAAAAGCATGGTTAAAGTAAAGAAGACTGCCAAAGGCAACATATAATGGTCTGCTGCAGATATAGTACAAGAAGTGATCGGCAATGAAGACATATTAGACGAACCATCATACAGTCGCACCGTAGAAGCCAACAGTCTTAGGCAAAAAATAAATAAGACCCAAGGAACCACATGTAATATATTTTGATCTCTAAACTGGTTTCCGCCTCCAGATTTCGTCAAAGAAGACGACCTGAGGATGGTGCACGTCACCTGATATTTTACACACAAGACCAGCTACATCACCTAGGCTGATCCAAGACATGTACATGGACGCAACATTTAAGATTGTCAGCCGACCATTTTATCAGTTATTTTCCATTCACGCCTTCATGAAGGGGGATTGCGGAAATATCAAACAGTTGCCGCTGGTGTATGTACTGATGTTGAGGAGAACAGCAGAAGACTATGAGGAAGTTTTGAAGACCGTTAAATAAGCTTTACCTGGACTAAGGGCAAAGAAATTTGTGATGGACTTTGAGGCAGGTATGTTGGCTGCGATGAGGAGCGTTTTTCCTGGCGCTAGCATCAAGGGCTGCTGCTTTCACAGGACACAAGTTGGGCAGCTTGGGTTGCAGGTTGCTTATAACGAGAATGGCCCCACTCACCATTATATCCACCAACTAATGGCATTACCATTCCGAACCGAAGATGAAATCATTGATACATTCAACTCATTGGCTGCAAGATCGGTGGAAGAGACAAATGGACTCGTGCAGTATATACGATCTACATGGATAGAGAGCGCAACTTGGCCGACATCATCATGGATGCTATACCATACGCACGAATAACGACGTAGAGGGCTGGCACTGCCGTTTGAATTCCAGAGCAGGGAGAAGCAAGCTTCAATTTTACGTCATCATATCGCTACTACACAGAGAGGCTATGTACACCAAAGTCCAGTTGCAATTAATTAAAGAAGACAAACTACAACGATATCAAAGATCAATATACAGACAAGTGCAAGGCAAAATATTTAGACTGTGGGATCAACATGTTGCAGGCGAAATTACGACAACCCATCTCCTACTCTGTTGCAGCAAAATATACGGACCTATCTAACACTGAATTAGAACAATTCTACACATGCAAAACGACCCTTTTCGCGGCCACCACATCCTCCAAAAAGAGATACACCGTCAGCTAAACATACAGTGTAAACAAATATACCCAAACTATGTATGTATATTTATATACGAAATACATATCAAACAACAAAACAAAAAGAGATGTACCAAAATATACAAGGCAGGGCTAAGGTACGAATATAATTTTTTTTTAAAATGTAGATTAATTTAATATTTAGCAAACCTGAATAACACGCACGGTGCTTAAATATAAGCCTGCATGTCTTAAAGATAAAAACAAACAGTTTGTTAACGCCATTTCATGCCCTTGGTTAATATTAGCGACAACACGCTTTGGTGTCAGTGGTCTACGTGCAATGGGAAAAGTACAACGCTATTGAGATCAGGTCAAGGCGGCGAGTCATCTGAAATAGGTGGGTCCAGTACCCATACAAATTAATTTGAAAGGGTGGAGGGTAGGGTTAGAGTTAGGGTTAGAGTTATGGGTGGGATGCAAAAGAAAATCTTTCCCTCAAACGCTGGTGACAAGTTATCAAGACAGAAAACAAATTCGAAGTAAAGAGACATTGGAAGTACCTGTGCAAACTCCCATAACGTATTTATATATTGTAAACGCATAATTACTCACTGGTTTTTAATTTCACTAAAGAAAGTAAAATTCCCTAAATAACATTTGTATGAAGGTGCAACAATGTCATATAAATCATTATCGGATAATTATCAGATAATAAAATCTGTCTCAATAGTTGCCCAGACAGACCTGTCTAATTTAGACATTTTTAGACTTTATTAGATGATATTATCAAAGAAAAATGAACTGTCCCAAAAGTTGCCCAGACAGACCTGTCTAACTTAGAAATTTTTAGACGATAATATCGGATAACGTTAAAAAGTGCAATGTCGCGCCTTCCACAACATTCACGTAAAAAAACGCTGTTTCGTTACTAAGTTCGTGAACATAAAACCCAGTGACATTTTTCAAAAAATCAAAACAGTGAAATTGAATGCCAGTAAAAATAACTGGTTTCACAGTATACTGTCTTGACTAGCGTACTTCTGCTAAAATACTCTACGGTTTTATCAGAAGGAGAATAAACTCTCATCACGTGTGTACCTGTTGTGAACAAACGGCTCTGTCTGCATCCAAACGACGACGGACGAGTTGAACAAGACACGCCGACTCTCGTCAACGTCTGCACCTGTAAATAATACAGCAGCTAAATTGTCAATTTATGCATATAATAGAACTACATGATTTTGAAAGTACGTTATAATTACAGAAATTGCTAAATATGTACAAAATATACTCACACCAGAGCGGATACCACGAACTAACGACGCCATGATTTTTCCAGAAATCACACTTAGCTCACGCGTGTACTTAACTTGACCTCTCGTGAGCGCGAAGATAACGTCATATTCAGTCTCATATTCGGCCTCCGATTCAGTCTCATATTCGCCCTCATATTCAGCCACATACGCACTCTCTAAACCCATCTTCAGATTCAAATGTGCTCATTGTGGGACTTATTTATAATACTTTTTTTCATTTAATATTATGTGAAGACATACAGTCCAGGATAGACTGGCACAGTTGTGATATTTTTATTGTTTCATATTATAATTTTTATAAAGAATGAGATTGTAGAATCGCTCGCATTGAACAAAGATTTAGAAAAAAAATATAAAATTGCAAGGACTGGTCCGGGGAGTGGCTCAGTTGAAGACTTTTTTTTTTCAAATGCATTTCAAATTATCAGTTTTTTTTTTTTTTTGTATTCAACTTTTATTATATTATATTTTATTTTACAATGACAAATACAAAATGTATTAATAAGTCATACAATAAATTGTTATGATGTTGACTATTGACTATAATTCTATAATGTTTCGTTTTGTGTTCTAGACTTTAATTGGTAGTAGAATACCTGGAGAAAATACAAAAATCAAAAATATTTAAATTAACGCTCTTTTATTGCGTAACACTATGTTGATCGGTGTTGGTTCCAGTCTGAATTTCGGTTACAGAGATACTGAATCCGAATCTGAGGCGCATTGTTCACGCCTTGACCTCTCAACTTGTGTATTAGTTACCCCTAACTTTGTTCAATAAAATCAAATCAGTATTAATCAAAATATATCCGTAAAATAACAGTTTATGATATATTGTGCAACAAATCCATGCGTTTTTTAAATAGTATGGGTAAAATACGCTTTTGTTAGTACGATCGTACAAGACGCTTTGATTAATTAAATTTAAGAAGTTAGGGGGTCTAGGAATCACCTTTTATCGTGACCTAAAAGGGATTCCCCGTTTATCATTTGACGAGTTATGCCTTGAGAAGTATTTACTATCTGAAGACAGAAAAAAACTAAGCTACTGTAAAGATGAACTACATGCCGGGAACTGCTAGTCTGATTCAAGAAATCGACAGTAAGCCAGAAAAAATGTGTTTTTTGCGACAAAAATTCAAATTGAATTTGAACCTGAGCTTCAGTTTGGTGGCGCTGGTCTTGGTGGGATCGCGTAGTTGCCGAGGAGGGACCATTCGGAAAGTTGTTGAGCAGGCATGTGTTACTTTCCCCTAGAAGCGCAAGCTAAGCACGTATGTTGCGTGTTGTATTGAGTATTGAACATATCTGCTTATATTTCGGTTACTATCTATAACAAGAGGTGTGGTAAACATATACATAATTTTCATTATATCATTTTTACGACAGTAATATTCGATCTTCACTCTTCACAGAGAAACTTCTGGTTGTCCTTAGAGATGGTAGAACTCTTATCGGATATTTGCGTAGTATTGATCAATTTGGTAAGTAGTAATAATAATAATAATAATCTTTACTGATAAACGTATCCTTAATTGAGATATTGTTCGTGATACAATAAAGTTAAATGTTGAAAGTTAAAAATTGAAAAATAAAAAAATGAAAAAAATAAATAAGAGACACAAAATTAATAAAAACAACTAATAACACAAAACAAAGCAAAAACATATTTTATGAGGCAGCTGGTAATTTAATGTAGTTTTCTCTCATTAAGAAGCCTTGGTATACAAAATTGGCTAAATTAATTAACATGTTTTTGTCTTTCGTTTTAAGTATATTTACTAGTTTTTCTTCTTTGTTTTGATTGGTTGGTGTTGCAAAAAATTTGTTTAGGCTGTCTTTTCTTAATGCATCATAGTGTGAGCACGTTAGGAGGAAATGTTTTTCATCCTCAATCTCCCCATTTTGGCAAATTTGATATTTTCTATCTTGTAAGGCGTGTTTTGAGTATCTGCCCTTCTCAATTTGTAGAGTATGTGCACTTATCCTTAATTTTGTCACTGCTGACCTATGGAATGGATTTTTTACTATTTCAAGATAACTTTCGAATTCAATTTTCTCTTTAATGCATCTGTAAGTGTGTTAGTTTGTTTCTATGGTTGCCTCCCTTTTTGTCATCGAATAGAGATTTATCACAGTGACTCTGAAATGCCTGTTTTGTGTTCTTCTTGACTGTGGTAATAAGTGTGTCATTAGTTTCAGGAGTGTGGTTTTTTCAGATGTCATCCTTGTTTACCAGATTTAAAGTTTGTTTGATGCTTATATGAACTTTTACTTGGAAAGGAATGGTTGGAAAATGGATGTCGGCGTTTACAAGCAAAGGAACATCAGAAACATGACAAACTTCATAATGCGTCATTTAAATCACAGTCCCTCCACACCTGTCGGGGGACTGTGTTTAAATATACCTCTGTCTGATTTGCTCATGACATTTGCTTGTGACATTTGCTCATGACATTTGCTCGTGACATTTGCTCATGACATTTGCTCATGACATTTGCTCGTGACATTTGCTCATGACATTTGCTCATGACATTTGCTCATGACATTTGTTCATGACATTTGCTCATGACATTTGTTCATGACATTTGCTCATGACATTTGCTCATGACATTTGCTCATGACATTTGCTCGTGACATTTGCTCGTGACATTTGCTCGTGACATTTGCTCGTGACATTTGTTCGTGACATTTGCTCATGACAAATATTCTGCACCCCTCACTGTTAGCTGATACAATTCAAACAGTGTGGTGTGAAATTGAGTATTGTGTTTATTTCATAGCTAACCTGGTGCTGCACAGAACTATTGAGAGGATCCATGTTGGCAAAGAATATGGTGACATCCCAAGAGGAGTGTTTGTAGTGAGAGGAGAGAATGTTGTACTGCTTGGAGAAATAGTAAGTTTCTACTGTGGTATATTGTCACTTTATAATATCGGACAATCAAACCATTATTTTATTTTGTTTTAATGAACCATCATTCCTGGCAGCACCAATTCAGTGACGTCGTCCTAAGCAGGTTAGTCTACCACTGAAGTTACAAGAATACAGTTTACAGGACCTTAGTGCAGTTACACCTCTCACAATAACTTAAAGGGGCACTTCCATTTAAGCCTAATCTCACAATAAATTAACTTTCTGGATTAAAATTACAATGGATAACAAACTATAGATTAAATTTGTAAACAACATAAACAATAGTGACCCATGATTCTTTGGTGCATTTATGGAAATGTAATTTATTGTCAGAAGGAACTGAATACTCATTTATTTGAACAAGTGGATGCAGCCTCACTAAAAACAAGTTTCTGGTCAAATTGTTTTTCAAAAAGATTATTATAAATATTTTATGCGCCCAAATTTGACAGATTTTATCTATTCATCAAAGAAGCACTGTGCAGTGGTGAAAAAAGTAAAAAAAAAGATCGACCTTGGTGGTCCTGATCAGAAACTTCAACAGTAAATTATAATTTGTTCATAACTTTCATAAATTTAGTAAATCTATTATAAAATTCCTTCGATTTGTCTGGTATTATGGTACTATATAACTAAATATAATTATTAAATATTTACATTTTATACTTTATTCATATTTCAGGATCTGGAAAATGAAGGGAAGATTCCTTTGAAAGAGGTTTCCATAGATGAGATACTGGAAGCACAACGATCAGAACAACTTGAAAAGCAAGAACAAGAAAAGGCCAGAAATAAAGCTTTGTTAGAAAGAGGAATTCAGCCTCATATAGATAATGTAACAGAAGAGTTTATGTAAACTGTCAGATCATTATTGTAGATGGAATCTCGCCGTTTTAGAGAAACCATCATGTGGAGCTTTGTGTTCATCATGTGCTAATAGCATATAAAAGCGTGCATAGCAATCTGTACAGCTTCAAACTGTTTTATTTTGTAATACAATCGTAGAAAATATACATTTTGTTGGGGTCAGTTTTTCATTGTCAGTCAGGCAAGAAGTTTTTTTAACCAATCTATTATTTTTAGATGCACTTCTCACTAGATCTTGTCTCAAAAGTATAAATTGTCTTGAAAAATATAAGTGAGAAAGAAGTGTATGTTTTAAGTTGTTTTTATGCCCAAAGTTTGTTATTAAAAGAAAAAACAAATCATGTTGGGAAGATGGGAGTGTTGTTGCCAGTGTAAGCGATTTGTACAGAATTTAAAAAAGATAAGATGGGGAAAAAAATATTTTCTCAATTTGAAAAACTAATTTATTTCTTTGAAATATGCTGACCGAGATTTCTCTGTATGTCACTCTTAATCTTGAGTAAAGACAGTGCATTTTTATGCACAATGCATGGACGGTGGTGTTATTAAGATTAGAGGCGCCAATGTTCCTAGAGTTTAGTCCTATAATAAGGGAAAAATTGAACATTTTCTTTTGTTTACATGGAAGGCAGGAACAGGATATTGCAAGACGAAAATAAAATTGTGTAACTGGAAGCAAATGATTGCTCAGGAACAAATTACACATTTTTGTTGTCATAATGGGCTGTTATTTTTTCATTCTTAATATTATTACTAAAATATAACACAATTGCCATACTGCTTTCACAATATTCTCATAGTCGTTACTGTACTTCAAGATCACTCCAGTTTTCTGTATACCGGTAAGTCTATGTCCTGTTTCATGCATTATTTACACTGTGGATATGGAGGTAATAAGAAGCCATTAAATAAACTTTCTTTACTATCAGAATGTGAATGTGTGTCCATCGGTTCTATGCAAATGGGAACTTGTGATAGAATTTAAAATTCAAGTGTGTTTGCCAGCAGGAGATACAGACACTTGGGTGTAGATCTAACTTTGTGTTTGCCAGCAAGAGATACAGACACTTGGGTGTAGATCTAACTTTGTGTTTTCCAGCAGGAGATAGACACTTGGGTATAGGTCTAACTCTGTTTGTGTGTATCAATTATCTGATTTGCAGGTTTTGAGTTTTTTTTTTAACTCCAAAACCACTGATCTACACGGATTTCAAATTGTGTTTTCCACAGATAAATCTTTTTGATGCAAATCTGACTGGTGGCTAAATATGCAAAATAACTGTTTTACACATTTTCTAGTTTTGAAATCCTGACAAACAGGAATACACAATTGAGTAAAAAAACTGTAAATTTACTTTATTACATTGAATATGCATGCAAATATCAAAATAAGGTATATAATTTCATTAGACAAGTATAAAAAAAGCCCCTCTTAAATAGTTGAATAAGATTGCCTGAAAGTAGTATGAAGTATCATGCATTAATTATGGATACTTAGCGCCCTCTATAGAGGAAACGCCAAAATTGTATTGAGGGCGCTATTCATAAAACAGACTTCTAGAAAATACTAAAAGTTTATAGTTAATACATATATATATCAGTTATTTGAAATTACACATAAATTTTTTACATATAACCTGGTTCCCCCATGATAATGCTGATATCAAAAGGCAGTATTAATAAGAAATGAATATACAGCTACATTATACACGACGCATTATGAATAACATAATTTCGATTTCTATTGCATAAAATAGAATTTTTGATCTTTAATGTAAAATAACACTTAACATTAATTCCCCAAATTTGTGTAATTTGAATGAAATGGCATACACTATAAACTGCAGCAATGTAACCAATTTGGTACAAATTAGCATTTTTATATATACCCCTATATGATTATGTATGATGCAAATTGCCCTTATCTGTATGAAAATATTACTGTTATTAGCTTGCTATGTCACAAAACTTTGTCTTAGCTTTATTTTAATATGCACCACCACACATTCTTCCTTCTCAGGTAGATTTGCATGTTACTTGCTCAGTGACCTCACCAATTTGAACAATCAGATTTCATAATTTGTATAACTTTATGTAATACATCAACAAAATTAATATAATTTGGCATTCCTGGAGAAAATAGCAAGTTTTTCATAGGCATTTCTACTTAATTGGAGGGGAAACCTAATTTCTGAAGTAGTAAGCTGAATACATGATATATATGTGGCATTTTGAGTGCGGAAGTGAACACTGGCTATAAGGCACACAATACAGAGTATGTTTATAATTTTTGAAATGAAGCAAATACAATAATTGATGTGTAGATCATACCCTATATTTCATGAAATATGCATCATAATTATGTCTTTGGTTTGGATATGGCAGCATAATTAATTTTTATATCATTTATAACTTGATTCAGTAAAATTAAAATGTTAAAGCTGTTATATGGCAGAATATATTTATTATATTTTATAGCTGAAAGAAATTATCAAATTAAAGAATTCAATTTTAATAATATTCGTAACTTTAGACTGTCAAGCCTCTGATTTGGGAATCATAGGCAGATTCAGAACCCCTCCAAAAGTTTGTTACCCTATTACACCCCCCCCCCCCTCTGGAAGCTTTCATCAGTCTTTGGATCCCTGTATCTTTATGATACAGATTTTCATGGCATCACTGGAAGATTGGAAGATTTAACCAAAGTCTGTTCTGAGGTGTAATATTTCAGCCATCCCTGGCCTCTTTTTTAAAGACTGCACACAAAGAGAAAAAAAAAATATTAAAAAAACAGCAATTACAATTAGTTACACATATGATCTTGAAAATGATGGATGTGTCTATGATCAAAATATGTCATATTTTAATAATCCAGCAAACAATACATGCAATTTTCGGATTATGCGTGCTTCTATTGGAGATGCACTTTGGATAACACTACATAGCAGAAATGCAGACACAATATAAAGTCATTTGCAATTCTGTCAACAACAAAATACTGTAAAATACTTTATTTTAGCTGAAATTAATTTTCGCTGAAAAGACGTTTTGAGTGTTTTGTATGGAATTTATTTTCACTGATTTTTGACGAGTTGAATGTAAAACATAGGAGAATAGGTATATTCGCTGGATTTTATTTTCACTGAATCATTCCTTCAGCAAAAAATAATTCTAAGTGAAAATAAAGTATTTTACAGTATAGATCTGATGGTCTGCTGTGACAATATTGCTCATATGTTTTATTCTATTACCATGTCACCTACTGACTGTTTTTCCCCCGATTCATTTGTGCTGTCCAGACAGGTTTTCAACAAGTAACCAGGACACATACATTATCACAATGATTTATATGATACAACTCTCATAAACATGTAAAGTGATTTAAAGATCTCACACGAAGTGAACTCTCACTCTTTGCGGGTGTTTGGAAGCAATTCCATTCTGTGCACTTCAATCAGATATATTTTTTTAAGGGTCAGAAAATACAGTAAAGTCTTAGAAACCGCATTTAAAAATACAAAATGCATGTATTACACTAATTTCCATATGAATTTCTAAAAAGGTCTGTCATGCAGTTTTGAGCAGAAGATTGCGTGACTTTTTCATTTCTCAATACTCAAATCACACATCATATATTCAAAATAACAGCAGCAGCAAACAACACCATTATTTCACTTTAAGCTATGATATCCAGTCAGTACACGAAATGATCATTGTTATTAGATGACATCACTACTGTGTAACAGTTCGTCATCTAGTAATTCAAAATGATGAATATTTATCTTTGCAAAACAATGTTATTAAAACCGTTGAGTAGCAAATTGTTTTCTCGCTTTAATTATGTGCGTAAATTTATTTGTTCTCATTTTCTGTAATTTTCACTGAATTCAATCTTAATTTTCGACCAAAATAATAAAATGTTACATTGCTTCTAGTTTTTGATCAAAAATTTTGAAATTTGACATTTTAAGTTGATTATAAATGGAACTATTTTGTGAATGGTGCCCGAAGTTGACTTTGACGCTCAAAAGGTTAAAGTGCCTGTGAAATGGCTGCTATTTTCACGTCTAAAATTATCAATTGATACATAAATATTATTAATTTTTATGTTTCTAAGCATAAATTATTTTTTTTAAGTGAAAAAATGTGTTTTAAACTCAGTCTACAGCAACTTTATTTTTTGTATTTTAAAACGAGGCTCCTCATTAGCTATTCATTGCCATACAGAAATTCCCCTTGTGACGTCAGAAAGGGAAGTTGCTGGGCAGCTCGCATTGCCGATACGTGTAAATAAGGCAAATTTCTTGTGCAGTTTTCTCGTCTTTGACTAAATTGTCACTTATGTACTTTTTCGTCGAGGAAGAACGGGCCATAATGAACACTTGGATATCAAATTTGTTGCATGGGGTTGAGTTAGATGCGAGATATGTCCGTTCTGGTGTGGCTGGTCGCAGTGATGTCACCGTCCCCGGCGCACGTTTGTAAACTATCGCTGAACCTCGGCACTGGACAACTTTCGAGTCGGTAAGAAGTTCTAGTTTTTTTTGTTCTAGTTGAGCTTACTACTCTTTATAAAATATCTTATCGATAATTTCAAAGAGGTATGTGTGAACT